GGGTATTATACAATATAAATGATTACACCTGTGTGTGTGTTGAGAACTATCCCTCTTGGTTCTCCATGCCTGTTTGAATATTTTTAAATGATTTCACTTCATTTTACAATCATGGACGTATATGACAACGCTATTTTAAGGTGTCCTTGTTATAAACAATGCATAAGGGCATGCAATTAACCCTAATCCTAACCTACTGTGTATCCCTAACCATAGTAAATACATGTAGGCCTAATTAATTTAATTAATTAACATTTGTCATAGTAAAAATGAATAGTTACACCATAACAAAGACACCTTAATAAACTGTAACCCACCTAGCAATCAGGACTAGCTTCCCAAGAAAGCAATAGGCTAAAACAATAAGGGTAAAGTTTTGGGCATGGTAACTATTTAAAGGTTATACATGGTTATTTTTCGGTTTATGTAACAGCTATGATTAAAAAAAAAAAAAAAACAGAACTGTAAAATAAAGTGCTATCAAAAAACAAAGAAAAAAATACTTTTCCTACTAAATTTAAAATAAACAAAGCATGCATCATTTCATGGTTTAAGAGTGCTGTCAGCACTGTTATGTCTATAAAGTGACTCCAAACAATATACAGTAGGCTATATACAGTATGCAATCTTCCATCATGCAGCACACATAAACCCTCGTCACGGACAGAAGTTTAGCACAAACAAGAGCCTTCTTCCATCGAGCAGTGTCCTTTTACCAGCCCTCGCGGCTTTACTAACAGGACAACATGATTTACGGTCTCTCGCCCTCCAGTTATTCAGCACACTTCAAGTCCTTACAGGTTATTATTGTATACGGCATGATTTCAAGTCATTTTTCAGTCTGGGTGTCAGACTGTTTGAGTTTAAGACACTTATGATAAGCTGACTGTTTCAGTAGCTGTGTTTATATCAGCACTAGAATGTCGTGGCCGTCTGTTGTCAACTCTTTTTTTCTTCTGAATTGCACTTATTATTCTTCACTGGTTCACTGGTTCATCACTGCATAAAAGCAGCATTTATTCGTGGGGGTTACTTCATGAATTATACGGGATACCCTGTAGTATAATCAAAGATGAATATTCTGAAATGATTGTCTAAGGCTACAGTACCACCAAGTGGATTCGCAAGTAGTAGTACACTCTCCATAAAGTGGTTCTCAAGCAAAGAATCTCAGAGAAGTTGCAAGAGAACCCCCAAAATGGTTTAATTCCCTCTGGTACTTTTTTTTGATAACTTGCAACTTATTTAATTGGTAAAGGTTTTGGTACTTTTAACGCACAAAAACACAGAATAATTATAAATCATGTAGCTACTGTGATCAAAAGAAATCTTGCTGCAATCTTTTTTTCTTTATCTAACTTTATCTTTTTACATATATGGCTTTTACATTTTAAAAGTTTTAGTTCAGTTTTGATGTTTATTTATTTATTTATTTATTTTTGAGCAGTATATATATATATATATATATATATATATATATATATATATATATATATATATATATATATATATATATATATATATAAGCCATACTTTGCCTTCCTGTGGAATTTTATTTCTTTTTCAAATATTTCCCAAATGCTGTATAAAAACTAGATTTTTTTTTCCGAACACATTTTTAGCATAACAGATTTAATATTTAATAACAGCTTTTATATTTATTTGTATTTTACTATCTTTTAAATGCTTAACTAGTCAAATGGGTTATCTAGGATAATTAGACCAGGGGTTCCCAATCTTTTCAGGCCGCGACCCCCAAAATGACAATGCCAGTGAGTCGCGACCACCAATATATTCTGAGGTGGTTATAAATACAGAAACCTTGCATGCAATGGAGCACACACACCAATGGACCCAAGTCTATTCTTCTTTAATTTTTTTTAATGTATGAGAGCTGTAAATGGGCAACAAAGTTTTACCAGGTGTTATGAAATCTGCTGCATCTGACACTATTGCTGTGTCTTTAATATAATGTAATTACCCCAGGGGTTGCAATCCAATAGAAGTAGTAACTGTAAGCTACTATAGTAACTATATGGTATACGACTATTTTTTCTCTTCAGCAGGTTATGGATAAAATATGTTTATTCTTATGGTTTAATAAAAATAAATAGATCACCAGGCGACCCCCCTTTATTGTCCCGCGACCCCTCGGGGGGTCCCGACCCCCACTTTGAGAACCATTGAATTAGACAAGCCATTGTCATAAAAAAGCAGTTTGTTTTGTGGAAAATTGAAAACAAATGATATTCTAGGAAGGCTAATAATATTGACATTAATAATTGTTTTTTAAAAATGTAAAAACTGCTTTTATTCCTGAAAAGCTTAAATAAATAAGACTTGTGAATAAAATAGGAATAAGATCTGTGAAACATTCATTCATTCATTTTTTTTTTCGGCTTAGTCCCTTTATTAATCTGGGGTCGCCACAGCGGAATGAACCGCCAACTTATCCAGCATGTTTTACACAGTGGATGCCCTTCCAGCCGCGACCAATCTCTGGGAAACATCCATACACACTAATTCACACTCATAGACTATGGACAATTTAGTCTACCCAATTCACCTGTACTGCATGTCTTTGGACTGTTGGGGAGGCCGGAGCACCCATAGGAAACTCACGCAAACGCAGGGAGAACATGCAAACTCCACATAGAAACGCCAACTGACCCAACCGCGGCTCGAACCACCGACCTTCTAGCTGTGAGGCAAAAGCACTACCTGCTGCGCCACTGAGTCGCCTTCTGTGAAACATAATTTGGGAAATGTTGGAAACTAATTAAAATTTCACAGAAGAGCTAATCATTATGCCTTCAACTGCGTATATATAGATCAAAGAGTATTTTTCTGCTTCTTAAAACGATACGAACAAACTTCAATTACATTTTTAATTGTACTTTTTCACTTCAGCAATAGTCTACTAATGTCTTTTCTTTTATAAAGAGACCAAAACCACAGGGACAAATCTTTATGCTTTGAAGCACAAAATAATCTGAAAAAGAAAAAAAAATCCTTTACACCCTCAAAGACGACCAATGATTTACTTCTTTAAAAATGAGAATAGTTTATTATAAAGGCTTATTTTAAATTGTGATTTCTAAACCTGAAAAAGAATTCTCTATCAATTCTGAAACTGTTCATGTACACTCATCGGCCACTTATTTATATATAAGGTACACCTTACTAGTACTGGGTTGGACCCCCTTTTGCCTTCAGAACTGACATGATAGCATCATGCAGTTGCTGCAGATATGTCGGCTGCACATCCGTGATGTGAATCTCCTGTTCCACCACATCCCAAAGGTGCTGTGATTTGGTGACTGTGGAGGCCATCTGAGTACAGTGAACTCATTATCACATTTAAGAAACTAGTCTGAGATGATTTGCGCTTTTTGACATGGCACGTTATCCTGCTAAAATAACCATCGGAAGATGGGTACACTGAGGTCATAAAGGGATGAACATGGTCAGCAACAATACTCAGGTAGGCTGTGGCATTGACATGATACTCAGTTGGTGCTAAAGAGACCAAAGTGGGCCAAGAAAAAATTCTGATCCCCCACACAATCTGGTGTGGTTTTTCACTGCTGTACCTTTTCTGTCTCAAGGTTGGACGTGTTGTACATTCAGAGATGATCTTCTGCATACCTAAATTCTAACAAGTGGTTATTTGAGTTACTGTTGCTCTTCTATCAGCTCCAACGAGTCTGGCCATTCTCCTCTGACCTCTGGCATCAACAAGGCATTTGCGCCCGCAGAACTGCTGCTCACTGCATATTTTCTATTTTTCTGGCCATTCTCTGTAAACCCTAGATATGGTTGTACGTGAAAATACCAGTTGGTCAGTAGTTTTTAAAATACTCAAGACTAGCCCGTCTGGCACCAACAAACATGCCACGTTCAAAGTCACTTAACTCACCTTTCTTCCCCATTCTGATGCTCAGTTTGAACTGCAGCAGATCGTCTTGACCATACCAGCCTAAATGCTTTGAGTTGCTGCCATGTGATTGGCTAATCAGACATTTGTGTTAACTAGCAGTTGGACATGGTGTACCTAATAAAGTGGCCAATGAGGGTAAATTGGTATTTCAGTAAAGTACTTTACCACTACAATAAAGTTATAGCTATTAGTTTGTGTTTTGACAATGATAAATGCATACAGTAGTATGGAAATGGACCTTAACTTTTGATATAGTTATAGGCAATGGAGGCCCTTGTCGTTGGGAAACACTGCTCTGAAAACTTGCTTTATCAAATGTATCTATAATTAAAGCATTAAAATCTCGGATTGGTTGCATCTCTCAATAATCCAAAAAAGTCTCATCATAGATCAACATGTCAAGTAAAAAATTTGAATGTCAAGAGAGTTTCAAAACTTAGAATTTTGGCACTCATAATAACTCTCAAATGCAAAAACCTCAAAGGCAAATTCAAATCCTCAATAAGGAAGTGAAAAGGGCATTCATTAGAATTCAATTCCAATTCAATATTATGTTCAAGCATATATATATTTCCCCCAATAAAAAATATACCCTGAAAAAAATTGTGTAAAGCACTGCACAATTGAAATTTCAGTGCAATTTAATTACATATATTAATCTAGTTAAGTTGAAGTGTGCTTTAATTCTTCAGAAGACTCTCCTACAAGGCTAAACCATCTCATACTGTCCTATTTTGACTTCAGCAGGAGCTCTGTTGAATTTAAAAGCTGTTCAAGATATTTTTGAATTACAATATTTCCATTATTTTGTAAAAGCTAAAACCATAGGCCAACTAGCTCTAAATTCACAATACCCTTTGATTTCATATCATAGAACTATACAAAATTCAAGTGAGGCTTGAATTTAAAAGTCCTACCATTTGTTGGATCTGATACCATGTGGCGAATAATGCAAAAGGGGAATGAAAAGGCATCAAAACAAAGATAAAAAGATATATACAAAATATGAAATGTACATGGATTTGAGAAGAAAGGAAAAAGAAAGGAAAAAGTACACAACTTCGAGACCAGTTTGATTTTATTAGACTTGAAACCAATCGTTTGTAAATAGTAGAATTACATAAGTTGTTGGAACAGCAGAATAAAAATTCTTTTCATAGTTCTTTTCAATAACATTTGTGCACATATCACTCTCATTTGAATTCTTCAGTTAACTAGTGTAACAGTATTTAGGTTCTGAACTTAAATACAGGACGGTCAAGTAAATACTATAAAAGACACAATGTGTATGCATTGAAGGGGAAAATAAATAATGTAATCCATTTAAATTAGCTTAAGCAAATTACATCATGTCTCACTCTTTTGAATCCCTTTCATTTGTTGTCACTTGTATGTGCACAAGCGCCGTCTTATATAAATTAATTAAAGAGCTCAATTTAAAATTGAAAAAACAAAACACTACCAAGGTATCTTAATACCTTTGTATAATATTCACACTTTGTCCCACCTGCCACTTTAAATATTCAAGTGTGCGTTTCCAAACAAATTTCTCTTGATGTGCAAAGACATTACATGCATCTTCCTGAGTCTACATCGACACGCCAAATGGGAAAATTAAAGCTCTGAAAAATTAGTGCAATTTCTCATCAGCATAAAACACTTGCTCTATAAATACACAAACATGGACTTTTTTATGATATGATGTGCTAATACACATTCTTGAATATAGCTTACAGCCTAACCACTGTTATTTTAGTTAAGGGTCCCTATAAGTTTGAGGATAGCTCATTCAAAAATATAAAAAATAAATAAATTGGGCTCCCTCATTTTGATACTAACATTCTCTTTTATGGAAAACGGAGCATGAACATTCCGCTAAACATCTAATTTTGCTTTTAACAAATTTAAGTATGTAGTTAACTAAGAGATACAAATAACACCCTAAAGTCTTCCTAAGTGTATACACTTTCCTTCATTCTGACAGATTAAAAAAATTAATCTGTCAAAGTTTTACCCAGCTTTGTATTAGCAGTGAATGGTGCCCGAGTTTTAAAGGTCCAAAAAGCCAATCTATCCATCATTAAAGTAATCCATATGACTCCGGTGGGAATAATGAATGTTAATAAAATGCCTTCGGAAACAAAGCAATGGACTTTTCTAAGAAAACATCCATATTTATGATAGATCTGTGCACTTTTTTGGTGTTTAAAAAACTTGGGCACCATTCACTTCATTGTTAAGCCTGATGAACCCAGGATGTTATTTAAAGGGATTGTTCACCCAAAAATGAAAACTCACAGATAATTTACTCACCCTGCACTTGTTCCAAATCTGAATAAATTTCTTCTGTCAAAAACAAAAGAAGATAATTTAAAGAATGTTCAGACTGTTTTTTTAACAATGGAAGCCACTGGCAACTAGTTTACAATATTCTTCAAAATATCTTCATGTTCAACAAAAAACTAATAAATATTTGGAACAACTTGACTGTGTGAAAATGCTTTTATTGATTCATTTGTTTTTTTGTTTTCGTGTTTATGTATTGTATATATGCAGGGGGGAGGGTGAAGGGTTAACTATTCCCTTAATATAATTCAGACTATGTTAATCTCAAAGATGTATGCACCTAGAATGGCTTTCAGTTGAGTAAATTCTGGGATATTTTGTATTATTCTTCGTTTGAACTATTTTTTTCAAATGTCAAAGATGTTCGGAACAATATGAGGGGTGCTGAATTGTCATTTTTGGTTGAGTTGTCTCTTTAAGGGACACGATGTGAAATAGGCACCTACTGTACTCCCTGTCAGAGACACAGCACTGTATTTTGAGTTTATACATGCTGCTCCTTCACCATGACATGTTTAGGGTTAAGATGATGCATTCCCTGCCATACGTGCCCTGTGAAACTATGCTACCAGTGAGTGTGCGTTTGCGTCTCATGCAGATGCACACATTCCAGTTAGTGAAGGTGCTCTGCTGTCGCTCTCTCCATGTAAGGAGTGAGTGATCCTTCAGGTCACATACTGACTATATAGCAAAGCCGTACCCTGATTCTGTCTGCGCTGGCCTCCATTTTTACCCCTTTCAGGTAGCCAGCAGCTCTTCCACACGTATAAACATCGACAAACACACTTTATCTAGCTAACAGAGATGGCCACTCTAAAGATATTTACTGCTAGTGTACGACAACTATTCAACATTCCCATGAGCTTATTTCTGGACAAGGGATTTTTGATTGCTAAGGCCACAATGTAAATGTGATGCACAAATCATTCCAAAATAAATGCGAATTAAAAAAATAATAATAATAAAATACTCAGCTACCGTTGTGAAGTGAGTACAAAAACAACTGCCCTGAATAAAGCTCAAGTGTTGAAGGGATAAGTCCCTTGCTGTGTGACATAAAGCTGCAGTTCTTGGAGGCCTGAATGTGTATGTACAAGTATAAATGAGGCGTTACAAACCTTCTTTGGTTACTGAATAAACATGAGGGTGATATCAGAGTCATCTGAGCAACATTCAAGAATCTCGTGAAAGTTGTGAACTGGAAATAAAATACGAGTAAATAAAACTGTATGAGTAGTGGAATGATAATGACAGGATGTGATGTGCAAACAGAGGAAATGACCTCAGACCACAGGAAATGACATCACTGTCAGGGTATATTTTTATGGGAATAATATTTTCTTGTTTTGTATATTTTTGCATCTTACAGCTAAAGTGTATCATTTCTGTGCCACAAAAATATTTAAGCCCTAAACTCAGGCTATTGCTAGAAAGTTTGCAGTAAGTTTTGTACAAGTAGTGGCGCGCAACAATGACACACTTCAGTTTCAAGAGGTTTTGAACACATTTTCTTTCAAAATTGCTCTCTGATTTTATAAAACTCTGCAAAATTTAATGAGGGAACGCCATAAAAGAGGAATTTGTGCATATGACTTGATTTGTTCCCTCATTTTGGTTAAATCATGGCTTCGTTGTACTAGTTAGTTTTAATTTAGCCATATAATGACCTCAATTAAATTAAAACAAGCAATTAATTCATTGGTTTTGGTTATGAATTAGTACAAAGTGTCCACAATTTACCTAAAATGAAAGAACAAGTGGAACTCATAGAAACAAAAACCAGTCTTCATTTCTTTTTTTTTTTTTTTTTACATCATGTGCAAGGCTCCATCCTAATTTACTTTTTTGTTTCTTCTAATAAATAAACTTCTCAATTCATTCTTTACACTTTCAGTCTTATTTGAAGAAAGCAAAGCAAATTTTTATATGAGTTAATATGGATGAGAGCTCAGCACTTGTTTCAGTCTAACTGAACATATTAATGGACCAAAAAAGCTTCATTGGCTTTAGAATCCTTTCAATTTCCTACATTGTAAGTCTAGTTTTGGATTTTAGCTGCCTGTTCCTTCTCGACCTTCTCCTTGGCTTTCTCTTTCTCCATCAGCTTTTCCTCCTTTTGTAGCATCACCATGATCTCTGCAACTTGGTTGGTGGAGATATCAATGTCCTCCTTATCAATCAGCTCTACCACCTAAGCGACACACCAGACAAATGTCAACATAAAATTTACATACAAGTCAAACAGAAAAAAAAAGGGTCACACTTTATTTAGATAGTCCGTTTGTTGAATTTAAGTTACATTGCATCTACCTGCCAACTAATTCTCAATAGATTAAAAGTAGACTGCTAGGTTGGGGTTAGGGTTAGTGTAAGTTGACATGTACTTGCAGAGTTTCTTATAGTTGGTCAAATGTCTGTTTAAGGTGCAGTATCAACAGATATTAGGCAGACAGTCTACTAATACTCAAATGGACCATCAAAATAAAGTGTTACCAAAAAAAAGAATATCAAAAGACACTACAGTGGAGATCAACTTTATAAAACCTATAAAAACTGCTTAGTGCTATACTAAAAAAATGCTGGTTTCCACACAATTCCTTCATGTTGTCCCAACACAAATTGAAAAGTTAAGTAGTTTTTTCAAGTTTAAGTCGTTCACAAGTTTACAATTAAATTATCCAAAAAAAACAAGAATTGTGTTGATTCATCTCATTTTAAATAAACAACTCATTTTAAAATAGTTTGGACGTGCAGCATCTTTTTTTTTTTTTGAGTGATTTAAATTTTTCCTATAATGAGTAAAACAACAGTTTTAAGGGAATATTTTATGAGTTTTCTGAAACACAAATTATTAACAAATGAAACTTAAAAATAGCAATGATCAAATTTAGAGAGCACTTTCAGATTCAGCGATTGAGTCAAGCAGTTCTATAATGCTGCAAGCACTGACATTATGAAATGGACTGATAACAGCCAAGATCTAAACCTGATTGAAAAACTCTAGAAGATTCTTGGCAAAAATGTTATGTTCAATAAACCCAACTACAGTCAACAACCAGTGGAAGAGACTGAAAAAGATTGTTAGCTGTTTCCATTTACCTATTTTGTGCACATTTTGGAATATTAAGCATAAAAATGCTTGAATGCAAATGTCAAGGTGAACATACATTTTGTAAATCCACACAAAACTACTATGAATCATAAGAAATTTATTATATAAGAAAAAAGCCCACAGTGGCTTCTCTTACCGCAGCAAACTACATTTTTCTTTTTGATATTTGACATCAGTTATAAGGAATTTTCTCGTTAGCTTTCACACAAGTCTAATTCCTGCTCTAAAGGCATGGTGTAGACCAGTGGTTCTCAAACTGTGGTACGTATGCGTCCTTCCAGTGGTACGTGGAGGAATCTCTAAATAATAAAATTAACACACTTTTAAACCTACCGCGTATGATAATGCAAATACTCATGTGATCAGACAGCATTGGCTGTTCCCTGAAGCTTACAATTATGCTAGTGTGCCTTGAATGTTTACTTCAGTGCATCGCGTCATCAGATGTTAAGAATAAGTCCGCTTGGCACAGAGCCAGAGTATAAGGCGCTAGAGAAGCCCTTTTGTAGACCAGTGCTGTTGTGTTGGCATTTCAATTACTGCAAACTCGGGAATCTCCCTATGCTGCATCATTGGTAAATTAACTTTTACAAATATGTTCAAATGTGTGCTCGTAGTTGTGTAAAATAATGCACGTTTTCTGTATATGAAGTTATTTGTTTTGTAAAGCAGCGTGCACGGCTTTCGGTTTAGTTTTGTTACCTCAGATTTAAGCTAATTAATTTGGATGTGATTCAAGTGGCGCGAGACACAGAATATAGACTCAAGCAACTTTGCCATCCTTGAAGCTAAGAGGTAGAATATAATCCAAGTCAGCCTCTGTGCGCAGACGGAGGAACCGTGAACTGTACCCAAGTCTGCTTAAAAATAGTGGTCAGTGCGCAGTTAACGCGAACTCCACGGTTCATAAGATGTGATCTCATTTGCACCAAACCACGGGAATACCACACATGAATTGGTCAAGCATTGTATTTAACACTGTATGTAACATTTCCAGGTTCTGCTGAAAAGGCTACTACACATCAATACTTTACAAGTACATCAGTTTTCTTTTTACTTTTTAACAACAGTACCATTTTTAAATTACTTTTAAAAGCACATTTTGTTTTTAAACTGTGACTTTTTTTTGCTGTTTTTGTCTGCAAGCACAGTTTAGTTTCAAGATATTGTTAATGTTTAAAGTGGATGACAAGAATACATATTCTTAATAATAGGAAATAATCTGCCTCATTTTTACCTGTGCAGTACTATAGCTGCTTTGTGCTTAATTAAGCCTACTACGCTACTGTATTTTAATACTTGTCATTATGGTGGTACTTGGAGAGACAATTTTTGTCTGAGATGTTACTTGGTGAAAAAAGTTTGAGCACCACTGACGTAGACAATGGAACCTTTTCACAAGACTGTTATGATGCATTTAACGGTAATAAGTATTATAATTCCTGAAAATGTTTAATATTTAGATAAAAAACATGTACATTTGTATCATATCATCCTTGCATCAAATTACAAACAACTAATTATCGTTTACGTGAGGTGTTTCTAACGCCATGTCTATGAATGGAAGGCAAATTTGACATTGTTCTATCTAATGGCTACAGTTATGAGTCTCACACTATTTTTTTCCCTTTTTTGAAAGTCTTTATAACACCATCATCGTGATTTTCTTTTATTATTTCAGCAAATGGGATTGTAAAAAAAAAAATTGTTGTACTCTCCCATTTCCTACGCTTGAAGTTTACCCAACTATGGCGACTTCTGCTACTGAGAAACCCAGAAATGTGAAAAGGCTCCATACTAAATTCCGTTCAAATTCCGAACAATGTAGAATCCATTATTCCTCTAAGACAATGTAGATTTATAAACTGCTCTCTAATTTTGTTCTCCACTGCACTTCTTGTTACCTTGATGACATCATCGATGTCTATCTTGCCATCTTTGTTTTCGTCGAGTGCATCTGCGATGCTGAGCAGCTTGTGTTCAGGAATGTTCTGGATCTGCTTCATGACTGTAATGAGCTCGTTGATGCTTATCAGATTCTCCCTGTAAGACAGAAAGACACTGCATACAGGGAACGGTTACTTGATAAGACAACAGGTAAGATGGTGGAGGACGAGTAAGTTCTCTGATCAAGTCGCATGCCAAGACAGCGTGCAGGGTTCCCAGAAGAGATGTTAGTGAGTGGAAGAGCTTTAGGAATCATTGCTAATTGTATTGAGACATTGATTTTTTCGATTTTTTTGACTAAATCATACAAGCTCGGAGTGTAATGGCACATGTCACAAACCAATAATGTTTTGGTATTGGTGTTTAGTTTTGGTATGTATATTAAAACTGAACAAATAAAGTGCTGTTTTAAAAGGGGCTATATGTATCAATTTTCAAATATGAATCTCCTTTTTATTGCAGACGTATAAACGGCCTGTAATGAAATTTAAATATCAGCTTTTATATATAACCTAGAACATTGACAATGATATCTGTTTTTTATAATATGTGAAGGATATTTTTCATGGCAAAATGCAAAGAATGTGATGTTTATAATGGTCCAGAAAAACTCTCATCTGTAAATAGAATGTCTTTTAATATTCCAAATCATGCCAAAACAGCCATTTTGTCCTGTAACACCAATGTGTCATGCAAAGAAATTAAACAGAATCCTTAATTCTAACAATAGTCTTGCTTAACCAGATCTACATAGTATACTATCTTAAATATACTTTGTAGCAAAATTATTGTAACAGTCCACCTTTAAAGGGGCGATTTACACTATTCTGATTGCTACTGTGGAGATCAGAATTTATCTGAAACAGAGGTTTTCAAAGTCAAAGGGCATGAGCCAATTAAAAAAGATGCATTTGATAGATGTTGTAGATGGTGTATGTGGCTGCTGTCACTTTAAGACCTTACACATGATAGGGCTGGGCGATATGGCATAAAAGCAATATCAATAATTATTTTCCATATTAAATGATAACACTATAAGTTGTTAATGCGTCCAGATTGAAAAGAGTACCCCAACAATGACTGAAGCCACAAAAATTAGAGGGTCCATTAAATGGCATAACATGTTTTTGGTCGATACATTTTCGTTGGCCGAAAATTTCATACCAAACGAATATATTGAATGCGATACATCTTGAAAATTAGATTCATCTCGAATCTCTATATCTCGGTGGCCAAAAATTCAATATCAACACATTTTTAGATTTCCATTGTTGCACATTTCTGCTGTGTAATTGACTCTTAGGTCAATACAGAGTAAAAAAAAAAGTCCAGAGCTTATCATTGTTCTTGACATAAATTTTGTTGTGATTCGTTGTAGTATCATCTATCGGCCCAGCCCTACTTACACATGGATAATGTCTCCAACAGTTTACTTTTACTTTAGACATAACTGACTGTGATGAGCATTTCAATTAAAGATATTAAGACAACACAAGTGAAATATTTGAAATACAGAAATGACAATAATATTTGGTTAAAAGAGTGGACCAGTTTCTTAAAATATCTCCCCAATGGAAAATAGTCATTTAAAAATAAGACTGTGTGGGTGTTTGTATCAAAATTGATGTTTTCATGATTACTCGCGCATTATTTTCTGCTCTCTTTACGGAAAACATACCAAAACATGACTTTCAAAACAAAGTATATACCAAAAATTATGTTTATGTACCATTACACCCCTAATACAAACCTCATTTGTGGTTTAAAACATAGGCCATAAACTGTCATCCATGTTTAACTTGCAGTACTGAGAACAATGAACGATTTCACAGCACAACCCTAATCACACAACTGATTCAATCCACAAAAACCAACACTAATTAAACAAACAGGACTAGTAAAAAAAAATAATTAAAAAAAGACAAGCACACCGCTGGTGAATTAAATTATTAAATCAAACTTAAATCACCCCGCCCTCAAATAATTATTATTTGGTTACAAACTTGTCAAAAAAATATGGTTTAGTCCATATTTTTAAGTTATTAATGCTTTTGATGAGCAAACAAAAAGAAAATCGAGAAGTCTCTCCTGTCCTTACCTTGGCAAGTCACTACGTTTCTCAAAGAACAATCTAAAAAACAACAAAAAATGTTTTAGTTGGACTGGGAACCCTTTTTTTTTTATTTTGCGTTCACATCCTGTACAGTTATTCTTCCACCACCATTTTACTGTCAGCTATAACTTCTCATTGTGGGGACACAAATGCACCATCAGAAAGAAACCATAACATTTAATTCCACACGAACTGCAAATCAAAGCGTCTTACCCAATTGGTGGTGTGGTTTCGCTGTCCATCTGTCCGTCTAGCACCATCTTGTCCTTCTCCAGCTCAGTGATGATCTTATCCATTCTGCCGATCATGCGGTTTACCCGCTTCGACAGTCGCTGACTTGCTTTAGACTCCTCCACGGCCTTCTCCTGTCCAGTCTTGGACAGCTCTCGCTTTATCTCCTCCAGGTCCTGTAGAGAGACACACACATACACATTCAAATGTTTATATCAGAAATGAAAATGAATGAATCCTACACTATAAAAAAATGTACAACAAATCAACAAATCATGAAGACGAGTCTTTAAAATCAATTAATTGGTTTTCAACTCAATCTGTTTAGTTATTCATTCATTCATTCATTCATTTATTTTTCGGCTTAGTCCCTTTATTAATCTGGGGTCGGCACAGCGTATGAACCACCAACTTATCCAGCATATGTTTTACGTAGCGCATGCCCTTCCAGCTGCAACCATCACTAGGAAGCATCCATACACACATTCACTACGGACAATTTAGCTTACCCAAATCACCTATACCACATGTCTTTTGGACTGAGGGGGAAACCAGAACACCCAGAGGAAACCCTAGCGACCCCACTGCGCCATCGTGCAGCCCCTAATTTAGTTATATAAAGTTTAACTTAATAGTTTTAGTCAGTTTGACTAACGTAAGTTGAGATGACTATAAAAGTTCCTTTGTCACAACAACAACAAAAAATAGGCAGCAACATTTTTTTTTACAGTGTAGTGCTAGACAATATGACCTAATATCAAAGCACATACCTCAATTTCTATTTTTGAACGATTGTTTAATTCATTTATTCATTCATTTTCCTTCAACTAAGTCTCTTTATTCATCAGGGTTCGCCATAGCAGAATGAACCGCCAACTTACCAAGCATATGTTTTGCACAGTGGATGCCCTTCCATACTACGGCCAATTTGGTTTGTTCAATTTACCTATAGCACATGTCTTTGGACTGTTGGGGGACACCGGAGCACCCGGAAGAAAACCCACATGAACTTGGATAGAACATGCAAAATCCACACAGAAATACAAACTGCTCAAGCCGGGACTTGAACCAGCAACCTTCTTGCTGTAAGACGATGGTGCTAACCACTGAGCCACCATGTCGCGATTTTTTTTTTTTTGTTTTAATTATATATTATCCACTTATTATAATAATATAATCCTCAAATATAGGGGAAGAAGCCGAAGCAAAGTGGGTGAGTGATACTTGACATTTTAAAGGTCATTTAAAAAAAATATAAAATATATGTCTGTCAGGATTCTGAATATTAATTACATTGTTCACTCAAACTGATTTTTCTGAAGTGAAAATGCAGATGGATGGATGGCCTTTAAACTGCTGCTGATTTACATGCAGCACATCAATTATCTTACGTGTGAGTGTCTCGCTTTCTCTTTTTTGCACGTTTGAGAGAAACGCACATGCTCAGTCTGTCTAAAAGTGGTAGTTTGTCTTAAAGGGAAAGTATTAACGGGATTTTTTTTTTTAAACCTGAAATCAAAGTTCATACACACACTCCTACTAAAATTGCGTGACTTTTCCAAGGCTTAAGTAAATTTTCATGATCTAATTTAGGGCTGGAAGATTAATCGAAAAGTAATCGAAATCAACATTAAGAACCTATAATAGATCAAAATTTTCCGGGTCAATTTTTTCGTTACTTTTCCTACCAAGTGTGAGTCATGTGACCCGACTCTGTTAAGAGTGGATTTAAACTTCTGCGTCGAAAACATGGGTGTGGTACAGCGCAACCTTTGTGCGGTCATATACCCACGCAGAGATGCCTTGAGATGGCATATTTTCCATTCCATTCATTCATTCACTTTCTTTTCGGCTAAGTCCCTTTATTAATTCGGGGTCACCACTGCGGAATGAACTGCCAACTTATCCAGCACAATTTTACGCAGCAGATGCCCTTCTAGCTGCAACCCATCTCTGGGAAACATATACACACACACACACACTCATTCATACTCATACACTACGAACAATTTAGCCAACCCAATTCACCTCTACCGCATGTCTTTGGACGCAAACGCAGGGAGAACATGCAAACTTCACACATAGATGCCAACTGACCCAGCCGAGGCTCAAACCAGTGACCATCTTGCTGTGAGGCAACAGCACTACCTACTGCGCCACTGCATCACCTTTTTCCATTACGATAAAATTAGTATTTACATTTAAGTATTTGTTTAAAGTAGATCCATGAAATACATTGTTGAAAATATTATTTACAGGAGTCGTTTCATTTAAAAGAGGGACCTTATAATAAATAATATACTGCTTATTTTCTACTTTTAATATGAAAAACTGTGCAAAAGTGCAAGTTAACTATTTTTTTGTTTTTTTAAGAAAAATGTGCCTGTTGGTTTTAGGCAATGTGTGTTTTAATTTCAGTAGTTCAATGTTGAAGTTCAATAAATAATCATAGATGACATAAAATAATCATTCGTTGATCGTATTTGAGTTAGAATGTTCATTTAATAAAGATTTTAAATTTGAGGCCAAATCGCTCATACATATATAAATGTATTAAATATTTTATTGTTCAAGTTTATTATTATATTTGTATTATAAAATATTATATTTTTAATTAATTTATTAAATATTAAATTTATTTATTTTATTTATTTTTTATATCCATGTAAAATATACTTAGATAATGCTTACATGGCACTAATAACGTGAGAGTATATGATTGGTCAAGGACAAAAAATAAGTAAAGGCAACTAATCTATATTCAACTATAGAGATATTTGTTAAACAAATATGACTTTTTAAAATTTCATGACTTTTTTTTTCAAAACTTTTCCAGGCCTGAAAAATGTCATGTCAAAATTCCATGACTTTTCAAGGTTTTCCATGAACGTACGAGCCCAGTGAAATCTTTATCACTGGGGAATTTACGTTCATTATCGTTTACGAATTTTGTTTTCTTTTCGATAAATCATCCAGCCCTAAAGAATGCATCTTTACACTTGAGCTTCTGGTCTCACACACCTCACTGTACTCCTGCACATCATCCTTCAGGTCCTCTAGCTCCTCTTTCTCTTTGGTGAGGAGATTCTTCTGCTCCTTCAGTTTGGTGCAAGCGTCGCTCAGCATGTCAATCTCCTCCTTAGTGATCTCCTCGCCCTGAAAAATGAAACGCAGCGTCTATCAACACTCGCCCCTGTGAACTCGCACAGACATTGACATGCATGAGACAAGCAGTGTCGGGGAACCTTTAAAGCAGTGGCGGACTTGACCATTTGGTGCAAATGGGGGTTCGGTGCTCGCTTCACAGTCTGTAACAGTTTTAATGAGGCAATATACCAAAAATGGAGGACATTCAGTGGAAAAACAGCTAATTAGAATATATATTCTACATAAAAAAAGAGAAGTACATATTAAATTTTCTGTGCATAGCTAACAGTTACTGTACAGTCAAGTTACCCTTTAAAATAAAAAAACAGGTAAGCCTAGTCATTAAGAGAAATTATCTTATTTTTAGCAAATATTTGATCAAATGATGACTTTGTTAAAAAAAATACACCTGAAAAGATGACAATAAAAACAAAAGGCTCTACTTTAACAATCTAGGCACAAAGTCTAAAGTGCAAAAGCATTAAGGGGGTGTCCAAATCCACTTTTGTAATTTTAAGGACTGAAAAACACATTCTGCTCCCCAGTGCATGGTCTAACAGGGTTGTGCTTATTCTCTTAATGAGTTATGAGTGTGTTTTGAGCATTTTGAGCATTTTGATCATACCATGGCGCATTTGCCATTTACGTGGCAGGCTTTGTCACTAGCAAAGTGACAAACTTTACTTCACTTCCTTCACTTTCGTGAAGTAAGGAAAGAGTGTTTTACACACTCCACTGAAGACATCCATTAACCTACATATTTAATTTTGTTTGTTAAGCGCAAAGATTTGTTTAAAAAGCATTTCTAAATTCAGTTTTAATTTTCAGAAAACGAACAAATGAACAGTAATAACGAAGTGTGGTCAAAAAATTTGTTATGTCCAAACACCCATCCTATTCTTTTGCCCCACATGGTGATGCATTTGTCTCTAAAACCCGGCAGGTGGAAAAATTTAAACTTGTTTTTATTAAAAACAAATATAAATGTGCATATAATAAATAATGCTGCTAATAATAATATTATACAAATGCAATTTTTTTAAAAAGTCCCCTGTGATGAGGCACGGAGGTAGAGGTTTCTAAATTTATGTAGAAAATTATAATTTTTGTAACATTTTAATCCTTCATATTTTTCATGTATAAATATATTTGTGTATTGCTGTACATCTTGTGTGTATTAAGCAATGTGTAAACATTTGTACCTGCACAGGGGCATAACTGACACACTATGTGCTGGATTTGACACCAGCTTTTAGTTGATCAATGGCACAGTCTTTTTTAGTTTCTCAAAATGGCAACGCACCAACAATGCACCTTACCACACTTTCTTTTTAGACCAGCACACCCATGAGGACACAAAGTGCAGAGGTGGGACCAAGTCATTGTTTGGCAAGTCACAAGTAAGTCTCAATTCATTGCCCTCAAGTCCCGAGTCAAGTCCCGAGTCAAGACAGGCAAGTCCCGAGTCAAGTCCCAAGTCAAAGGCAACAAGTCTCAAGTCAAGTCCAAAGTCCTATTGTTTGATTTTCGAGTCTTTTCGAGTCTTTTTAACAGAAAAATGAACTGTAAACAGATTATGTATGGTTGTAAGATCTGTATTTATTAAACAAACCTTTTTTTATGAAAGAACATTGCTCAGATATATAAAAACACAAATGTAATTTTCTGAAAAAGTGCTAAACAGTGCTGCATCTTGTCTACACAGCACATTGCACAAGAACGAGTTCCACTACAATAGAGTCCATTTTGCCTCACATCACACAGAAATTGCAGGTCTACTGCTGTCTAGTTCATTAAGTTTAGTTGTGCTATGTTATGTCTTCTGTGATCAACTTGTGATTAACTAAAACTACATAAAATGCAATGTAAAATTGTGGCACATATTCTAAATGAAGTTGGCTACTTTATACAAACATTAACGTTGTTTTTTTCACATAACAATGAAGAACTTTGATCTCTACCTTGTGTGACGCTCGTGCACCGATTTCCTCTGTGGACAAAACTGCTTGCGAGCTCTGAAATATACGCTGCTCACGCGCAAATTTTCTCGCTCTCAAATATGCACTGCTCACGCACACATTTTCCTGCGTGCTCTCAGAGATTATATACAGATTTTGAGTCTTGTGTTTCCTCTTCCTTTCGTGCTTTTTTATATGATTTATATTGAGGGACTATTTATTAACAAAAACCAAAATACTAAAATAGACTTACATATTAAATTTTTAATCTAATAAACCATAAAATTTTGGCTGTATGTTTTATGATGAGATATTTCCAGTTACAAACACTTAAAGACACAGAGAATAGATGTTGGATGTAAAGAATGTATTTTGTTTTACAAACATTTATTAATCATCCGAAAGGTGTACCATACTAATCAAATAAAAAAAAACATTTAAACAAAAATATAACTAATGCAAGCAGAAATGTAACTGTGATAAAAATAAGGAAAAACTTGATTAGGTATTATAGCCTACTGTACTATTCACTCTTTAAATAAATCTCACTATCAATCCCATTTTATCATGGCAACTAAAATAAAATGAACACGTCTCTGCTGTCTTCCACATTATTTATGAGATTGTGGAGGACATTTTCCATGTCATCCTCTTCATTTTGAGGAAAAGCTGTTCCACAGGGCCCCTGAACACATCTATTGGCATGGACAGTGTTTTGAACAGTACTATAGTAAAGTACTTTAATTAATTTGTTGGGGTCATATTATAGTTGCTTTGGTAACACAAGTGTAATATAAACAAATTACCCAGTGCTGTAGTTTTTTACAATATAGGGTATATTATACTACAATTCACCACACTTTACTGTAGAAAAACTACACTCTGTATTTTATCAGTTCACTATTCTTAATACTACAGTATGCTGAAGCATTCATTAACAACTTGTAAATAATACTAGGCTTAAACATAGGCAGTATACCTTATTCTCAAAAACACTAGCATTTATTATAGAATTTACCTTAACCTCATAGTTTTTAATGTATTGTTACTAAATAGTGTAGCAATATATAAACCATATTAACATTCTGGAATAATCAATTTACCAGGAGGATCTCTGGAGAGCAAAAGCAGGAAAGGTTTGAGGCGCCAGTGTGGACAAAAGTCAAGCAAACGCAGTGAGACTGAATACGTGCACGAGAGACCAGCCAATCAGATTGAAGTACCTGCCCACTGGTGAAAGTAATGTCAGAGCCAATCAGATTTTTCTTTCTTTTCATAAAGAACGGGGTTCAAATCCCACTTAGGCACTTGTAAACTATCATTTTAGACCATTTTGTCAAAAATCCCTACTGAAAAAAACAGCTTGAACCAGCCTAGGCTGGTTTTAGCTGGTCGACCAGGCTGGTTTTAGAGGGGTTTTGGTCATTTCCAGGCTGGTTTCCAGCCATTTTCAGCCTAGTCTTATCTGGGCAGGCTGGGAGATGACCAGCTAAAACCAGCTTGACCAGCCTAGCCAGGCTGGGAGCCCAGCCAAAACCAGCTATGTCCAGCTTAAACCAGGCTGGTCAAGCTGGTTTTAGCTGGATTTTGCTGGTCAATTCAATTCAATTCAGCTTTATTTGTATAGCGCTTTTACAATGTAGATTGTGTCAAAGCAGCTTCACATAAATGGTCATAGTAACTGGAACAGTGTGGTTCAGTAACTGGAACAGTGTGGTTCAGGTTTTAGTGTTTAAGTTCAGTTCAGTTCAGTTTAGCTCAGTTCAGTTTCCAGCCTGACCAGCTAAGACCAGGCTGGAAATGGCTGGAAACCAGCCTAGAAATTACCAAAACCCCTCTAAAACCAGCCTGGTCGACCAGCTAAAGCCAGCTTACCAGCCTAGGCTGGTTTAAGCTGGATTTTTCTGCAGGGATATTGTAATGTTTAACAATTTATTAGAGCCACAAATTATCTAAAACTTGTTTTCATGTTTGAATAGGCAATAAATGTGCTAAATAAATTAAAATAGAAATACCCACAGTGAAACAGTTATATAAATTTAAATATTAGTTTAAATACATTCATAGTGGTTTTAAATATATTTTAATATGTAAAGTAGAGTTCAAATTCAACAAACTGAATAAAACAAGTCTTCGTTTTTAGTTTATTTAAAAACAATTACAAATGGAGTAATTCAACTCACAATTAAATGATCTCATTGAGTGATGGAATAATAAAGGTAAAACTTTAATTGAATGATCAGTCAAGTGTTTTCCAATGAAATCTGTTAAAATAAGAGTCCTACAAAACAGGAACATAGACACTCATGAAACGAAATGTGATTATCAATTGTATTTTTTATTAGATGGTTGGTTTTAAGTACCTTAAAAATAGTAGATAAGCCTTAAATATAGAGGGGGAAATACAGAAAAACAAACAAACAGAAATTCAACAATATAGATGCATTACATTACAATCTCGCAATAAAAAATTAATTAAAAACCATATAGAGGAATAAAATATTGCTAAGAGGCATAACATCAACAATAATACAAATACTTTTAAGGTTTTAAATACTAAATAAAATTAATAGTATCAATCCAAAATATGAAAAAGGTAACACTTTACAATAAGGTTGTATTAATTAATTAAGTTTATCTATGTACTAATGTGAACAAACAATGCAGTGAAGTACAGTTACAAATCATTACAGTATTCATTAATTAATGGAAATAAAATTATTGGTTAACCTTTGTTAAATCACAGTGCATTAACATTAATGTTAACAAGCATACCTTTAAATTGTAATTATGCAATAGTAAATGTTAAACTATAATTAATAAAGGTTTAAAAGTATAGTTCATTATTAGTTTATGTTAGTACATAGATTAACTAAAAAAAACCTTATTGCAAAATGTTACCAAAAAATAACAAAACACTTTTTTCACAGTTTTAAGAGCTTTAAAAATAAATTATATATATCTAGTTATTATGGCATGTAATTATTATTACTACTAATTAAATAGTTAGAAAATACTGTCAGAGGATGGGCAATACACAAAAATAAAACATAATATGCGCATTGACACAAACGACCAAGTGCAAAAACATAAATTACAGCCATGTTCATTCATAATTATGTGAAATAAATGACGAGAGGGTAAGTTTGGTTAAAAAAACTGAAGTTCATTGACTTATGCACAACAGTAAAATAATGCTTTTGCACAACAGTAACACATTGCGAGTAGTTAAGTATCTTACCTTTGACAGATGTTGTAAATCCGCTGAATAAAACAAAAGGAGTAGATCGCGGATGTGTTTATTTCACTCTCTGAGTCAGAATGAAAATGGCATCTTCAAATTTCCCGCTGGGGCAAAAACACGGAAGTGCGCCACAAAGCGCTAGTGGTCGAAAGTATGCGCGCATGCTTTCTGTCTCACACACACACACACAGAGAGATAGAGCGCTCCGTGTCAACATACTTTTTATCTTTGGGCTTTTTATAGAAAGTAGCAAGTCTTTACAAGTCAATAGGCGCAAGTCCAAGTGAAAGTCCGAGTCATTTATGTTCAAGTCCAAGTCGAGTTGCAAGTCTTTTCATATTTTGTCAAGTCGAGTCTGAAGTCATCAAATTCATGACTCGAGTCTGACTCGAGTCCAAGTCACATGACTCGAGTCCACACCTCTGACAAAGTGGCACAAATATATTTGTTATTTAAACAACGTAACGCAAAACATGAAAATTACTGTTACAGTGGATCGGAAAATAGCAACAACACGTGCAATACATGTCTTGCAGTTGTATAATAGGGCCCAAAGTGTTGTTCTAAAGTTTTAAAATACTTTTTCAAAATTCTTTGAATATTAATATAAAATTCAAAACACAGCCTTTATTTTAAACTTATTTCAATTATTTTATTAGATATTTTGCTTTATTTGAACTGATTTGAATGTTTTATAATATTCATTATAAACATCTTTACTAAATTTAATTACCATTTCTTTTTTTAGCATATTAATGCACCTTTGATTAAAGAAAGTAAAAACAAATCTTACTGCCCACAACTTCTAAACAATAATGTAAATAATGTTATTACAGAAAATCAATACTGATTTGAAAATTTGAATTACTGTCTCACTTCTGTTACTCCCCAACACTGACACATATACACTGGTTGCTCTTTTATTAAAGGATCAGTCAGAGGAAGGAAAGGTTTCCAACAAAAGTCAAAAAGGTTACTATAACCAACAGAAACACATTATAGGGCTGATTGAGAAAGCCTCTGGTGGGCTTCTGCATTTTACACTGTCCTACAGACTCACACAAACTCATACAGGGGTAGAGAGTTGAGGATTGAAGTTGGAAGGAGGATGCAGGCACCAAACCACACCAAAATCTGCTCTTCAAATCAAAATATTCACATTATAATTTGTTTATTATAATAACATTAATATATAATAATGTTTGTGAGGTCCAAGCTCATTGGAAATACATGCCTCAGCATACATTTTTGTGAAGCATAAAAAGAGTTGCTCCAGTTATGTTTTTTTGCACGTTTCAGAAGACAAGTCCATTCAAGGGCGCTGTTTTGGGGTTTTTTGGTGAATTTTTTTTTTTTTTTACATTTTTGTTAATGTGAAAAACATAACTTAAGGTATGTTTTGATGTATGTTGTTTCAAATGAAAGTCTTTCTTGTACACATTCAAGAGAAAGCAGAGCTTTTAGATCACAAGTGAACCCCAGACCTAAACCCTTCTCTAAAATCAACAAATAATGTTTTCAAAAGCAAACATAAAAGAAAACTGCACTACAACCACATAGTTTAACATTAATTTTACACTGCTTGTTTCTCGTTTGTGGAGCTGAAATTCACTGGATCTTCATCACAAGTAGAACACTCTACAAAGTGACAGTTTCCTGCCGCAAACGTTGTCCGAAGTATAAAATTCCAAACTTATTCAATTTAAAATTATAAACGAAGTTCTTTTGAGGTATTTTTAGATGCAGTACAAAGAGCTGCACAAAAATAATGTTTTTTGTCAATAATATGTCCCTGTTAATATCATCACTGTGACAATAAGCATGTTTAAGTACAGCCAAAACATTGTTGCTGCTTGTTCAAACTACTTATTTAAAATGAGCTGTATTAACACAACTCTTGAGTTATTTCAGGACAACTCAATTGTTTTGGGCTCCATGCCCATGTTTTGACGGTCCATGCGCAGAGCGCAAAACGCAGGGCGCAAACATTTTCAGGGCGTGTCAGGACGCGTTTTTGCTAATTTAAGGACGGGAAATCTGCCTTGCGCCGCGGCGCATGGTCTAAAAGGGTTGAGTTTATTTTCTTAATGAGTTATAGGTGTGTTTTGAGAATAAACCAATTAGAGTCTCATCTCCCATTCCCTTTAAGAGTCAGCTGCGTTGTGCCAAGAGCGCATTCGCTATTTACAGGACGCAAAGTAAGTCTAAGTGGAAAAAATGAGCATTTCACAAGCAAACAGTTAACAGTTTTTAACAGAAAACTGTTAAACAGAGCATCTACTGCATGAGAATGAGAGATAATGGATCCCTTTCACTTTCGCTCTTGGATAGAGAAACCTTTACGCACAGACATCAATTAGTCTATAAATAAATACTTTTGTTTGTTAAGCGCAAATATTCGTTTCAAAACTATTTCTAAATTCAGTTCTAATTTCCAGCAAACGAATAAATGAATAATGATAGCAAAATGTGCTCAAAAACCTGAGTTATATCCTAAAACACATGCTGTGCCCCATATGGTCTAAAACCTGACAGGTGGGCAAATCTAAGCTTGTTTTTAATAAAACAAATATAAATATGGATATAATAAATAATACGGCTAATAATAATAACATTATACAAAAGCAAATTGTTATGAATGAACTGAAAAAGCCTCCCGAGATGAAGACATAAAAGCAGTGATTTTTCATATTTATGTAGGCTAGAAAATAATGTTTTGTTATATTTTAATCCTTTATGTTTATATTCTATATCTATTCTTATTATATCCTATATATATATATATCCTTAATATTTACATTTTTTCATATGTAAAGATGTTTGCCTATTGCTCTCTTGTGCGTATTAAGCAGTGCGTAAGAGTTTAGACTGGGTTAGTTTTGGTCTAATGAAAAATCTATTAGAGATTCTCAAAATAGCAACGCACCAGTGGTCCGCCTCAGAACGCCTCCCTTTTTAGACCAGAACGCCTATGGGCGCACAAATGAGCACTAATGCATTTGCTATTTAAACAGCGTAGCGCAACGCCTCAAAACGACTCTTGCGCCAAGCTGAAACTACCAAAAGACTACTGCGCCACGCCTTGCGCCACACTACACCGGTTGTATGATAGGGCCCCTTATGTTCAATCCACTTAACTTGTGTTTGGACAACATGAAGGAATTGCATGGGACCCAGCATTTTTTACAGTGTACGTTTTTGCAGTTTCACAAAAATGTAGAGCGAAGCACGTACTTTCCATGAGCCCATGTTGTGTTTGTGTCTGTTGTGCTAAATATAACCTAATCATATGCCAACAGAACCTTTTCTGAAAATGTAAATGAGAGAAAAGCACAAATAAAAGTGACTATGAGAGCAGAGCATCAGTGTGGTGACGTGAGGATCAGTTCTGCATCTAACCTGAATGCGCAGATACCTCTGCCACTGCTCGAACTGAAGAAATAAACACGCAAAATGATGCACACGACAACACACAGAAACAGACAAAGTCATTCCTGTGACATGTCAGCACAAAATCCTGTTCTACATTAACATGACAGAAATGGATCAATGCAACACTCAAAATCATCATCAAAATCATAAATATATATAAAATCAGGGCTTGACATTAACGTTTTTGATAAGTTGTTTTCCAACATTACTAGCCACTCAGCATTTTCACTATCCACAACTTTGTTGTTGGGACGAATTATTTTACATGCATAAATATGACTTTAACATGCTACATTTACTTGATTTAGATTTTGTGTTATGTCAACATGTTTCTTCATTCATTTCACTTTTTGTGTGAGCTTGCTCAATGAACATGAGCAAATGGGTCATGGTTTCATAGTGTCATATTACAATTTGTTTTTATTTCACTTTTCAGAGCTCAAAACTAAGGATTTACTAAATTTATCTCTGACCACACCAAACTTAAATAATTAATTATTCCTTAGCCACAGGTTTTAAATGCATCCAAACAAGCAAAATATTGCTATATACTATACTTTTTATTAAACAAAACATTTCTTTAAAAAAAAAAAAAGAAAAACAATTGACATTAAAAAAAATAATTATTGTCATGTAACTAAAACATGCACCATAATCCGTCCTGGCTAAAGGTACCAGATCACTACACAAAAATGGGGAGCTAATCTCCCATTAAAGCAACGTTATTGTAAAAAAATTATAATTAAACCATATTAACAAAAATAACTAAGCAAAAAAAAAAAAACAGGTAAAAAACATACTGTGTGTGATATTGAAAGGATGATCACATGCACATGATTAATGCACAGGTCAATTAATAATCTGTTCAAATAATAGTTAAAGTGAAAGCAACTGGTGCCGCTTACAAAAAGACAAATCTGAAGGTCTTGAAAGCAGCAAGACTGTAGGTGCATGAGAATAACATTTTGTTTAGTTTATTTGAAAGAGAACCAATCACACCAGCTGTGTTTTCAGGCACAATTGCGTCACCCAAGGAAACAGGAGCGTGCACGCATTTAAACAGTCGCATGCATCACATCAGCTGTTAGCGCGAGTGATCATCCTCTCATTCGGTATTCACCTGCTTTCTTTTGCTCGCGCAAACAATTTTGTGAGTCATGCTGCTTCTCGATGCTAAGATCGCTTTTGCACTAGGGTCGGGTCGATAGACGATGCCATCGTCCATCGCCAATGCCAATAGACAACACGATGCTGAGCCGGTATCGCCGATGCTCCGCGCCGGTTGCAAACCTGCTCGCGATAAATACACACTCAGACCCTGTTTACACTCATACGTCTTAGTGTTAAAATGGCATTTTAAAACAAAAATGATCCACATCCACACCCATACAGTGTTTTACTTAGCATTTCTGAACAGTCCTCTGTCCGCTGAAAACGCACATCACGTATCCACACACAGACACAAGTATTGCTCATTGCAGAGCCAAACACACACACAGCATGTGCTCCTTTGAGCTCCAGAGACAAAGAGCAGAGCAGTGGGAGTATCTATGCATTTGCGGGTCTCATAATGCCCGCAAACGAGTGATAATCTCCCGGAAATCACACGTCTCCCTACCGGTTCTCGAATAAGTCAAGCACCCTTCTCACCCCCGGATCCCTCCTCGCTCTTCAGGCACGTTGCGCGGTTTACCCCCCGCTCGATCACTCGCTCTTCACATGATGACGATGCCATTGTCCATCGCAATGTTTCACATCAGACATCACACAATGCCAAATTGGTCGACATCGGCCATCCCTAATTTGCACGCACATTGGGTTATCCTTATTGCCGAACCCTGCTTTTAAGAAAACTACAATTTTATAATTATTTTCAACTGCCCAAAGTGGCTAGTGGGAGTGTCTGTCTAACCCACAGCTGAAGTATACCCGCATTTGATATTAATGTCAAGCCCTGTATATATATATATATATATATATATATATATATATATATATATATATATATATATATATATATATATAATTATCTCAACCCAAATATTGAACAATAGTGCACAATTTAAAGTTTATTCCAAATGTCATGGTATGGAGTAATCATTTGAACAAACAGAAGTGTATTTAGTTTAATTTTATGCTAATGTAGTTATTAGAAAGTGTTAACAAATCATCATCAGAGTTTGTACAGACTTAAATCAAAACATTTAAGCGTGTTTTTTCTTACCTTAATTCCCTCCAGCACTGGTGCAGTGTCTCGTAGTGTTTCTGAATGGATGGCCACATCTACACTGGACAGAGCGTGTTCTGCATCCACCCGTCGTTCTCCTTCCACCTCCAGCACCTCAGCCTCCTGACGACACATTAAAAAAAAAGCTTCCAGAAAGAGTTCATCTACACTACCGGTATGCCGCAGACATCACTGTCTGACTGTATTGACCTGTGACTGTGTCTGCTCCTTTGCTTTCTCTGCAGCATCAGCCAGTCTCTCCAGCTCTCGCTCTCTGTTCTCCTGTCTGATGGCCGCCTCTTCCTGCAGCGTGGTCTCCAGCTTGGTCTTGTTATCCACTTTAGAGAAGTCTAGCTCTGCTACTTTCACCTGTGCCTCTTTAGCCTGTGAATGCACAAGCGAACACACACTCATTTCAGTAGGAATATCTGAAGTGCTCCTAAGCATACCAAAATTATTTTTACCCCTTTTACGTTCTGGAGTTTGAGTCACATTTTTTTATGGTCTGCAAAAAAAATTAGGATCAAATGGTGGCTGACATTAGCACAGGGTTCTGGTTTTATTCAAAATATGAATTAAAGTAAAATAAAACTCATTGCCTTGCCATCTAACATACAACAGTTGTTGCCAGGGCTGGACTGGGGCAAAAAATCAGCTTGGCATTTTGGGCCAGAGCGGCCCACTACATTCAATCAAAATGCTATCTATCTATGCACGTCCAGTATTTTAATAAACTCATATTTTATAAAACACAAAAGCCATATATATGAAATAAATAAATAAATACAAACTTTAATTATAAAAATAACTTTAAAAAATAATTTAATTTCTGTATGCTGTCCATAAAGATATTTGTTGAGTTCTAAAAAATACACTATTCATTCATTTATTTTTCTTCGCATATGTCCATTATTTATCAGGGGTTGCCGCAGTGGAATGAACTGCCAACCATTCCAGCATGTTTTATGCAGCAGATGCATTTCCAGCCACAACCCAATATTGGAAATCACCCATACACACACATTCACACACACTCATACACTACAGCCAATTTAGCTTATTCAACACACTATTCACTCTGCTTATATTCAGTAATAAACTTAACAAAAACTGCCTGCTGATCCATGGGTAAATCTTCAAAGGGAACAGTGTACTTTATAACCTCTTTCACCTCATCCTGCTTGCTGTTTCACTATCTAAACAACGAAAACATAATATAAGTCAAATTTGTTTCATTTTGATATTATGATTAACAGACACCAAACAGCCTCGTGTAGCTGCATATTTATATGAGCATCATCTTCACTCTGCATATTTATAACAAAACAGGGCTTAAATATAACTGCCTCCTTTCATTCTCTTTGAAAAGAACAAACTTTACCCCGTCTCTTTTGCAGAATATCAGTTTTAATAATCAATAATGGCCATTATAACAGTATAACGTACAATAAATTTATATGATAAATGTAAGCAATCAGTCAATATGCAAAATCAGTGTACGTAGTTACATAAATTAATATATAAGCTTATCTTTGCACTCAGCCAAAACAACAAGATGAATTCAATATCACGTTTAACAACTATAGTGAGATGAGATCCAGCAGATGAACTGTCTGACGTGCATTATACTCTCATATGGGGTTTATGCTCACCCGCTGAATTACTGGCTGTAGCTCTAGGCAGAGAGTGTGTGGTCACGTGATTTGCGTTTTTAGCCGTGTACTAGAATGAACGGAGAACTTTTCAGAACCGCAAAATGAAACGCCGGTGTATTTCCCGCGATTTCTCTGCGCCTCCCTTGCATTTCTTCTCTCTGATTCTCGACTATTTTGACAAATAAACACAGACGACGCACGCTCTTACAGAGCCCAAAATAGGAGTTTGTGATTGTGCCTGCCCAATGTCAATACAGAAAAGAGCCAATGGGCTGCAGAGTGTCACATGGGCCAGCCCGGTCTGTCTGTCCGGGGGAAAAAAAGCATCTTACTTTCAGAGTCACAGATCACAGCAGCGTCAATTAATAAGGCAGAAAAAAACAATAGGCTGCTAAGCCATTTATGGGCCGATCAGATCATAAGACGATGATCAGCCCGGCCCAAAAAGTACGTCGGCCCACCGGGAAAGTGCCCGGTCTGCCAGATGGCCAGTCCGCCCCTGGTTGTTGCCATACAACAGTTATCAGCACTCCTACAGCTTCTTCGCCCACACAAGTGGCAAGAAGAGGACTACAGTTTGACAAATACTGCAGATGTTGGGCAACATAATGTACTTTTGAAGCTTTTTTAGTAGAGAATGAAGTTGTTTAGATTGCAACCACGCAGTTTATTTATAAGGATAGTGCCTATTTTAAATTTTTATCATTTCGGAGATTCAGCGCATTGGGGGCCAGCCAGCCATACTGAGCGGAGCAAAGACGGTTGATGTTCCACCACCAGACGGCGACAGAGACTGCATAATAAGTCTTGAGGAGAGAAAAACAGCATTTTCTCAGCATATGTTATAGCTGAACAAATCATTACAGAACAGGTAAGTGACATTCTATGTCGATCTCTCTCTTTAGTATGTTGTAGTGCTGTATTTTTACCATAGTAATCTCGTAGTGTTTGCTTTGCTATGGTTTTTCATGGTTAATTATTGTGATCTCACGATTGCAACAGAAATACTGTGAAATTTCTGTTGACTGATGGCATTTCATGCCATTCAGCCTTATAATCTTAAAATGTGAGAATGCAAGAGAATCATTCAAATTCTAGATCTAAAGTGACATTGGTGAAGTAGCAATGGTTTCTACTGTTCTGACGTCAGCTGCAGATGTGAACGGCAGAAATAATTCCCCTTACAAAAAGGTTTTTAGACTCTCCGTGTTAGATTTTCTTTTTAATCACACGATTATGTTGTCGAACAGTTGTAAAAATGCAATGTCACATTCGTAGCAGTGAGATATGGCTTTTCGTCACTGGTGGGACACTAAGGCATATCACATATCACTGCTACGAGTGTGATATTGCTCATATATATGCACATAAACAGTTGAAGGCACAATTATTAGTCCACCTTTGAAATTTTCTATTCTTTTTCATATATTTTCCAAGTTATGTTTAAAGGAGAGATTTTTTAAACATAATAGTTTTAATAACTAATTTCTAATTGTTTATTTCTTATTTTATACTTATTTCTTGTTTTCTAACTGTTCTAGCTCTTTTTTTCTTTTAATTTTGCCATGAAAACAGTACATGGTATTGTTTTCTAATTATTTAGCAAAATGCTAAAATTCAGTTTAAAATGCAATTGAATTAGGTTCTCCTAAGTTATTGGACAACAGTGGTTAAGGGGGCTGTTAATATTTGCCTTATAAACTGTTTTAATAGTTAGGAAAAGCTGTTTTTATTACAGCCAAAATAAAAGAAATAATACATATACCAGAGGAATAAATATTATAGGAGATATTGTGAAAATTTCATTCCTCTGTCAAACATAGCGTTGAAAATATTTATAAAGAATGAAGAGTTAATCATTATATAAACATTGTTCATTATACATTAATTAAAATATATTACAGAAACCATATTTGTAGTTAGGTGCTATACTTGTGCTTTAGACTTTCAAACATAACAAAGTATCATCCACTGCCACTGCTGTCAAGTATTTGTTTAGCATATATTGACTTCACATCATTAGTGTCAGTTTCCTTTAAAGGTGCTGTATGTAAGTTTTTGACTCTACAAAAAAAAAAAAAAAAAACTCTGTTCTAAAAGTACCATAATATGTTTGCAGATATTTAAGAAACATGCTAAGAGAACATTCTTGTTTATCCGAAAAACAATGCTTTAGTCAGATTTTCTGCTTTGAAAATGCCGGAACACCGTCTTTGTTTTGGTTCCATTAACCCGCCCAATGCCAGTTTAGCCAATTATAATTTAGCAGCGCAAGTTGCCTTGTTGGAAAACACCGTATTTCATTCATTCATTAATTCATTCATTCAATCATTCAATCATTCAGAAAGGCTCTCAAAGCATGCATCCATGACCGAAATGTGACCTCCGGTGAACAGTAGCAAATTCCTTCCACATGAGGTTATTAATTAGCAATAATAATATAAATATTACTAATTTAAACATTAGGTGAGCAGTTTACATTTTAACCCTGTGTCCCAACAATACACTACGTGACAAGATTTGCAGTAATGAGCAATTAGGCTGTTTGCACCAGACGAAACGTGATAGAAATTTAAATACAACCTTTCAAAAGCACAGAATATGCACTCACTCATGAAATGGCAAGGTTTATGATCTATTTAATAAATAAACCCCTTTAACATTATTAAATGTACATGCTGAATCACTAGTGTATTGGTTTGCATTATTTCACAGTTCTAAAGTTTACTTTCAAACAGTTGATTTTATTTTCAAGATCTGAGGCGAACTATCTGCTGCTGCTTTCAGTAGTATGCCAATAAATGTCAGGTAAAATGGCATTCAAACTCACATTGTTAGCATTTAACACTGAATAAAGTACATGAGGTGTACCTGAGGTGATCATTGTCATTTACCCAATTGTATAAATCTGTGATAAATAGAAGCCATTTCTAATATATCAATTTGAGGTGTTGGTTACAAAAAAACTAACTAATACTAAAACGATTAGTTTGGGCTTGAATTTTTTTTAGAATTTAACAATTTAAGAAATGTAATTTGAAGTAAATGTGCTGCTAAATTGAAAGCACTGTGCAGTAAAGGGAACTGAAATGCATGTTTTGTGAATGTTGTGTTTTATTTAGAGCAACCAGTAGCCTTTCTTTTTAGTTATAAACCTCAGTGAATTATGTATTTTTTTCTTCTCAGAAATGCAATTTTGACCCAATTTGACTTGCTTTCTGAAAAACACACAAAAAAAATCTTTGTAAATATTGCGTATCTTGTCCATCACGTACCATGATCTCTGGCAGGTTCTGTAGTGTGGTTTTGAGCTGGTCTGCGGGAGACAGTGTGTCCGGCAGAAACATGGCTCGGGACAGCAGCAACAGAGATGTGGGAATGTGCTGATTGAGGTGAAGCTCCAACCACTGACACGATCAGAAAAAACAGATGCACAATGAGAAGACGGATAGCTAGAATATGATTGATCACAGAGGGAAGTGTTTACCTGTTTAAGCTGCTCTCTCAGTCTCTCCTCCGTCACCCCCAGAGCTCTCATTCCTCTCACTCGACAAGCCGCCTGCAGCTCATTCGCAGTCAGACTATCCACTCCCTCCTCGGCTATCAGCTGATAATCACACACACAGATTTAACTCAAGCTGGTATAGACATTTAAAACAAAAAAACATTAAATACATGACTTAAAAAGGACAAAACTTATTTCATTTCATTTTAAAAGTAATTTGTATCATTTTTAAAGTCGTTTTTTAGCATCAATGCAATAAAAGTGCAACATTTTGCACTTTGGCTTTTAAGTGATGCCTTGAAATGATGTCTCATGTATAATGTTCTTTTTACCTTTCATTACCTATTGTCATTATTGCCTTTATCCCTTCTTTCTTTACAATTTTTACAATCTTATCAGTAAAGCACTTTAGGATATATCTTTAAAAGTGCTATAGAAAAGAACATTTATTATTATTATCATTATTATTACCTTAATCTTTTGGTAACACTTTAGAATCATGGTACATTAGTTAATGTTAACGAATTTACTAACATAAACCAAGTATGAATAATCTTGTAAAGCATTTATTAATCATAGGTCAACATTAGGCAATAAATTATTAAAATCCAAAATGTGTGCTTGTTAACATTAGTTAATGCACTGTGAGTTGGCATGAACTAACATTATGTAAATTAATTAAATTTTTAATAATGTAAGTTCATGGTTACTTACAGTGCATTAACTAATGTTAACAAGCTAATTCAATAATTAATTTAATGCCATATCAGCAACATTGGCTATATGCATGGCAAAACCTATACTAAAAATACTATGAATATACAACAATCAATAATATCAGTTTTTTTGATAAACATTCATTGTATAATAAAAACTTACAAATAACAACAACACTGATTAGAGTCATATACAATCTTTCAGTTTGATCAATAACAAATATTCTAAAATTCCTCCAAAAGGCATCTTTTAAACATTTCTCTTAAAATATCTCTTGTATAAAAACATTATCTAATATAATTTTTAAATACACATTTTATTAAAAAAAAGTTTTTATCTTCAAAATATTTTTTTGACAATATTTTACATATTGTATCTATTTAAATTAAATTACATTAAGTAATGTTAAAGATGAATACATACCATGGTAAATGTATTAATAATTGTCATGTTAGTAAATACAATAACAAACATTAACTAATGGACCATTATTTTAAAGTGTTACCAATTTTTCTTCCTGTACATCAGAACAAGTTCTACTTAATTACATACTACTGCGGTTGAACAATAAGCACATTTTTCACCACCATTTACAAAAAACACGCAGTTATCCACGAAAATGGCTTTCAGTGTAACAGTATTATTATTTTGTATTATATAATTTTACATTATAATATTTAGAACAAGAAACATTCGCTGACATTAAAGGAATCCATTTAGGGATCAACATCTATGCCATTTTCCTACAAGGGTACCTATTTGTCAGTAAAAATCATTTACTAATTATTTTATACATTAAAGCAAGTACAGGCCAGAATAAATATCTTGTTTTTAAATAAATGTGCTTTTCCTAAATGACAATGTAGCCTTATGTCACCCAAATTTATTTTCAAAAAAGTTATTTGAAACATGAAATATTTAAAATATTTTGCATGTATATAAAAAAACTTCAGTACATTTATTTTCATGCAAATACCAACATATCCCTAATCATTATACACTCCATTCAAAATGCACAATTCTAACTTGAATTAAACATCATGAATGTATATTTAATCAAAAAAGGATGGCAGAATAAGATCTTTAAAAGATGATATACATGACAATTTAAACATCATAACTATTTTAAAGATTCTTTTTATAGTATCCAATAACCAAAAGATATGAAGCACGACAGTTTTAAATGTTTTTGTCTAGGAACAAATTAGAACATTAGAAAGAATTCTGAAAGATCAGGTGACACTGAAGACACCAATTATTTTACATTGTGTAGAATAATATCTCACGACATTTCTTTATTTGTAACTGATTAAATGCAGCTTTGAGGAACACAAGAGCTTAAAAACGTAAATATTCTAGCAAAAAAATAAAATAACAGCATACGAGAAACAACTCAAAACATGTGGAAGATAAAAAACAACAATTTAAGCTCAAATTTGTCAGTTGAAACGGTGTCAAACTTGTGGAACAGACAAAAAACTTCATGTAATGTAATTACAAAAACTGACATACTTCACATGAAATAAATTATCAACACAAGGATCCTTCTTTGACACAATTTCTAACCTTGTCATCTGCACGGATGGCTCGAAGCTTCATGATGAGCTGGAAGCGCAAGAAATTGTTGGTACCGATGGACTGCAGCTCCAGCAGTTTGCACAGAGCCACCAGCTGCGGCCGCGTCAGGTTATCCAAAGTCAGTTCGTCCTCAAACAGCTTGGAGAAACGGATGATCTGCTCATTGCTGGGTATCTCTCCAGAGTCCCGGATCTGAGAGAGAAGGCAGAAAGGAACAGAGAGCTTGCCACAGAGGTAGTTCTCAAACAAATCAATTCATAAGCATTGCCACATGGGGGCAGCAGAGGACTGTGTTTTAAACTACTTGAAGATGATGTAGAGATGTTATGGTATGAAAATTTAATATCAAAAAGTGAACAAAGGTACTACACTTAAGGCATTTTACAAAGTATCTGAAAATGAAAAAACAACAAATTAAATTGCAGTTTAATTAAATTTTTTGACAAACAGCATTAACATCATGAATCCCAGCATTTGGATTTGTTTATTTATGTTTAAATTTTCCCTTGTATATTTTTTGGTTTTGTTTTAATAGATATAGTTGCTTTTCTTATTAAAGGGATGATTTGTTTAACCTGCACCTGGTAAACCACCTCAAAATAGATTGGTTTATGTTGTTTTTCACTAAATTAGCATGAAGCTGCTTTATGAAATCCAAAAATTGTTGTGCAATTTCACAAAAATATATAATTGAGATTTTTCTGACTGCTTTTTTGTTCTCAAGAGTGCTCAGTATTCTCAATATGCAAAACTGCCTATTTAAACAAGCAGAATTACCATGAGTTTTGAAAGATGAAGATTTGAAACAGTGACACTAACTGTCAGGAAATTAACTGTGGTTTACTTTGAAATTGGTACAACACTATTCTATTGTACAGCTGTTCTTGTTGTTTTTTCAGATTGTAACCTGAACACATGTAAGTATGATTTACCTTCTGAAAGAAAGTGGAAAACTCTTCGGTCACGTTGCCTTTGGATGCTTTGTTTCTTAGTGCAATTTCCTCGATTGTGTCCTGCAAGAACTTGGCCATCTCCAACTTCACTCTCAGCTCTTTCTTCAGCCTCTCCTCCTGCAAAACAAACACACAAAAGCCCCGTTTTAATCCTGGCATTAAGATTTGTGTCGTTTTGGGAGACATATTCCTGTTTTGTCCACTTTTGACAACTTTTGTGATAAGGGGAGAGTCTATGGGCAACTTCTTTTTCTTTTGTCATCTTTCAATATAATATTGCTAATTATTCTAATTTAAATACTGTACAGTCAAAAAAACACCTTAAAATAACGTAATTTTTTTGATGAAAATGTTTACTGTTCAAATGCTAAGTAAATGTTAAAGCTGTAAAATCATTTACACAGGCAAAGACAACATTTTTAGCTGTATTTTTAATTTTTCCATTAAGTTATGTTTAATAGAGATATTTTTAAGACACATTTTTAAAAACATAATAGTTAATAACTATTTTCTTTTGCCTTCACCATGATGACAGTCCAAAATAGTTCATTAGTTATTTAGCCAAATACTAGTATTAATTTCAGCTTAAAGTGTTTGCTTAACTTGATTAATTAGGCTCACCAAGCAAGTGATTGGACAACAGTGGTATGTACTGTAACCAACTGTAAAGTTATTGGGACGGGGTGCAGATAATATTATTAATATTAGCATTTTTTTCATTTTCAATTTATAAGATTTTTTTAATTATTGCTGCCAAACTAAAAGAAATAAGACCCAATGCAACATTAATATCATTTAAAGTTTAACATATAGATACATCTGTATATACATTAATTTATACATTTAATTTTAAGATTTAGATGGAGTGTTTTTGTGATTTCTTTTTTTTTTTTTTTTTTACACTTTTGTACAGTGGATCAGGTTTTTTTTTATAACATATAGATAAAGAAATACCAATAGAACTTGCAACACTTATTGTAGTCCTTATAATTTTGTTTCAGTATGTTTGCATAAAATAAACTGATTAACAAAAATTTTTGGAATTTATACATTATATAAAGCTCATCTGTTATTTAAAAAACAATTGCACATACTAAGAATGCAAGACTACTACATTTTAGAAATGTAATTTCTAGTCAGGGCGGTACAATGGCTCGGTGGCTAGCACTGTCGCCTCACCGCATTAAAGGTCTCTGGTTCGAGCCTCAGCTGGGTCAGTTGGCATTTCTGTGTGAAGTTTGCAGGTTCTTCCCATGTTCGCATGGATTTCCTCCAGGTGATCCAATTTCCCAATAAGTGTATTGGGTAAGCTTAATTTTCTGCAGTGTATGAATGTGTGTGTGTATGTATGGGTGTTTCCCTAGTACTGGATTGCAGCTGGAAAGGCATCCGCTGCGTAAAAAAACATATGCTGGAATAGTTGATGGTTCATTTCGCTGTGGCGACCACTGACATAGAGAATAAGCCAAAAAAACCCCAAAATGAATTAATTAATTTCTAGTGAAACGCTAATTTTTTATGAATTAAAACCTAAAATATAGATGTAAACTTTAGACAATTCTAACTTTATTTAGCTTTTTCAATATCAGTTATATGACAATTTCCTTTAGATACTGTAGTTATAAAAGCCACAGATTTTTTTTATATGAATGTTCTGATGTATGGAGGACGAAACCCGCAAAAACAATAAATAAATGAATACGAAAATATATAAATAAATGAGTAAATAAATCCATCAAGTCCTGCATAAATACAATAATAAATATGCAAATAAAATAGTGAATAAATGTAATTAAAAATTCACAAATTCCTGCATAAATGAATATATAAATAATTAATAGTGCGGATTTCCTCCAGGTGCTCCGGTTTCCCCTACAGTCCAAAGACATGGGGTACAGGTGAATTGGGTAGGCTAAATTGTCCGTATTGCTTGAGTGTGAATGAGTGTTTCCCCGAGATAGGTTGCAGCTGGAAGGGCATCTGCTGCGTAAAACATATGCTGGATAAGTTGGCGGTTCATACAGCTGTGGTGACCCCAGATTAATAAATGGACGAAGCCGAAAAGAAAATGAATAAATGAATGAATGAATGAATGAATAAGATCCGAAATTAAAACTGAATTTTGATAAACTGCACAGCGCTCGTGCATAAATATAAAAGTTAAGTCAATGTGTTTACTGATTTTTTTTTTGTCAAAATCACTTGGGTTTAACCTTTTTTTTTTATTATTTAAAAGTAACTAACTACAATTTACAGTATAGCATCACCCACTTGTCAACAAAGCTTTTAAACACATGGTGTAAACAGAGAGTGTGTGTGAGACCGATAAATGACGTGTTAGCACATTGGTTTAGTACAGGTTGAGACATTTGCGGCGTGACTTTAACAGAAATACAATTAAGGTCTTAAAGGGTCTTTAATTATAGATTCAAAAGGTCAACTTGCCTTTTTGGACTGTGTCTCGAAGGTGGACGGCAGCATGTTGGGGAAGAGCTTCAGTGCGACAGGAAGCAGAAACTCCATGAACGGAACGATGATAAAAACCAGGAAGGGCAGGAGGCGAAAGACATCTGCACACGTCCTCAGAAACTGCAATTAACACAAGACAGGCAGTGATGTCAGAAGATAGTGGATTTGGGGATGAAATGCAATTATTGATCTGTGATGTTACTTTTAACATGTAGAGCTAAAAATAAAGTAAAGCCCCTGAGAGGCCTGTCATGAAGAGCTAAGAACAGACTTCAGAGAATGAGCTGCTATGTCAGGATGATTACACACACCACTGTATAATTACAGCTCAAATCCTACTGGGATGCGAAAAGACTCTCAAAGGGATGGTTTTTTCCCAAATATTACCTGTCTTCCTCAACACTATTTGGGCACTAAATCTACCCAGAATATCTGCTCTATTTCAGTCTTAAATCTAAATTAATATAAAATGATGATGATGATGATGATGATGATGATGGACATTCACACTTCACCTCTATTCGTTCTTATTAGCTTAATAATAATAATGATAATAATAATTATTATTATTTTTATTATTATTATTATTATAAAAAAATCTTCAAATCTTTATCATCAAAAGAAATCTTTCAACCTCTTTATTAAAACACATTGTTGTATTTGATTTTTCATTTACTGTAATGACATTAACCAATGACAATAATGGAACTACAAAAAACGCAATTATTCTAGGAACAAACCTAAAATGATTCTCTGAATATCAGCATTATAGTGAGGTTTACACAGGCACATATTTCTGAAACTCTTTCTTTCACATTATAACATGCAAAGACATATACAGCTAGAGCCACCCTTATGTTAAACTAGCAATACTATTAAAGGTTTTGTATTTTTAAATTAGTTTTAATTTCAGTACTAGTATTCGGTTTTGGTTGGTGTCATTGCTAGTTTTGTTAGTTTTAAATTTATTTTTTTTTTGTCAATCTGTTTCAATATAGCGTTATATATTTAGTTTCAGAACAGAGCACTTACAGTGTACTCAATCAAAAATTAAACATTCGCACAATTTAAATTAACTCTAGTGCAAACCTCTTAAAAAAAACAAAATGATAATTTAAACAAAGATTGAATCCAAAACCCCACAAATTCAACTTATAAATTATAAAAGTAAAAATAACGTTCTGAGAAAATCATTGGTATTAAATTCTATGCATAGAACATGCCTAGTTTGTATTTTTTGACAGATGAAGAAACTGGCTTTTTTTTTTTATCATTTCGGTTAATTTTGCCAACCAACAACCGTCACTCCTCAAACGAATATTAACAGCTAACTGGTCAGATTAATATTAAAATACTATTTAATTAAAAAATAAACAATTGGCATGTCTATTTTGTGTCTGACACATTAAATGTAGCATTTTAAAATACTGATTTATTTTAAAACGCGAACAGCCGCATAGAGAACATATTGACAACAAAACATCTTTACACACCTGCAGTGTTTCCAACAGCATAGAAAAACAAATATATTAAATAAAAATAATAAAATAGATAGCGCTGCTCTAGATATTTTTTCACTTTAATGACAATTTAAGATTACAAAACGAAACCACTGACTGAATTAGTTTTTTTCCCATCATATTTTTTTTTTCCGTCAAATAAAAATATCAGGCTACCTCAAATCAATCTATCCACAAAAAACATGCATTTAATGATCTGCAACTCTGGGTGTCGCCATCTCATCTGCTATTCCAACGCAATCTAACGGCAATTCGTAACTTTTTAATTTAGTGGCTAATTCGTATGAATTCTTACAATATAATTCGTACAATTTAGTATAATTTGCTCATCACCCAATGACGGTTGGGGTTGGAGGTGGGGTTGGGTGCTACGCCTCCTTTTTAAAATCGTACATTTTCGTACGACTGAACTCGTACAAATTCATACAAATTAGCCACTAAACTGACAAAATGTAAAATACTTATGTTTCCCTGTGAGATCAGGCTGGCTATTCTCTCAGATAGCGTCTTTGATACGAGCACCGATTTTCCTGTGATTTCAGGCATTTGTCAGCGATTTCTCAAAACCTGTCGTCGGGTCAAAAATCAGGGCTAAAAACATGCATAACTCTGATAAACATAACTTTTTCCTATTTTATATTTTATTTCGATTGGCTTTTCTTTAACTGTTGTTAGTTTCAGTTAGTTTTATTTTATCATGAATTATGACATTATTTTTTTCAGTTTACAAAAATGTTTTCGATACAACAGTTAAAGTCTTAGTTTGGTTTGTGGTCATTAGCCACGTTTCCACTATCGCGCCTAAAGCGACCGAGCCAGGGCGAGCCAAGGCCAGTGGCGTTTCCATTGTCACTTCCGGGGCCTAATCGGGCCAAAGCGGGGCTTTCTTGGGGCCAGAGGCCGGCCTTTTTCGGCCCGCCGAATACCTTGGGCCAAAGAGGGCCAGCCGGGGCTTTGGGGCGGAGTGAAAGGAGAGACGGGCACAGTTTTCCGATCGCACACGAGTACATGCGCCAAACACATAAACAAACAAATAAATAAATAAGAGAAAGAAAACATGTGGAACAAATTATAGGCTGGGGTCTTTTTTGCATATGATCGCCCTTATGGTTCTCTTTTAAATGTAAGGTTGTTGCATAAAATGATAGTTTTAATAAGTCACTTTTCTTTGCTGCATCTCTTTGATGTTTCAATAACGCATACTAATCTTTACACCATATTAAAGACACAGCAGACAGTAAAGGTTTTCAAGAGGTTTTTTCAAGTTTAATAAGTGTTTTTGCGCGTTTAGATGCCTGTGCGTGTGTGAGACCGAGGAAAAGAGCGCTCCATTCATAGCTCTGTTGATGTTTTTTCTTTTCTTTTTATTGTTTTAATTTATTTTGGAGATAATACACTATATGAATACAACAGAAAGACATTAAACTTTACAAATTTCATGTCCGCTTTTGTAGGCTCAAAACAATAGTGTCATCTCTAGATAACATAGCCTAAGCTATATTTAAATAATTTAAAGAATTACAAATATCAGATAGGCCTATAATAAAATCACATTAAATAAATAAACCAATATAAAACTAACAAAAGCTATAGCTATAACAATTAGGTACTATATCAAACTGTTTCAAATTTATATTAAACTTTCATTTTTCAAAAGCCTCTTTGAAAAAAAGATTTTCTAAAAAATAAATAAATAAATAAATAAACACCGGAAAATGTTTTAAATATTATTTATAAAGTATTTGGATACGATGATATTAATCAAATTATGCAAACAGAGCATTTTCGGGGTGAGTGAACGCAGAAACTAGGCGACCTTTTTTTTCTTTCTTCCAGCTGCGCAGCACTTTTTTGACGGGGAAAACTGCAAGTTCAAAATGTGTTCTGTGTCCTCAAACAAGTGTGTATGTTTTTATATAACATGGTAAAATTAAAAAAGGAAATTTAAAATACATAAAGAGCTTTATTAGTGCATTGCTGCTGAGCGCAACGAAATATAGGCAATATTTTATTACGTGCTGCTTTTATGTGCTGAAACACTGAACACTTTCCTTTACTTAAGATATAATAAGCAACATCTTTAAATAAAGGGAATCACCTATTAAGTGTCGTAAAGCCTATAGGGAAAAATAATCATGTTTCAGTTCTCTCCGGAGCATTTGGGATGCATGTTGGACAGCGTCTGTCTAGAGGATGTTATAAAATACATTTTATATCAAGTTATTAACGGATAATTTTATATATGTGGTGTTATATTATGGATGTGTGTGCTCCCTGCGCTGGGTCCCTCCGTTGGTGGCAAGACCACTGGATTTAGATGCCAGTCGGTCGGCGAGTAAATGAATATGATGAATGAAAACACACAGGCATGTACATAGACATGCATTGTACTACTGTACAGTAACGTGTCATTTGTTTGTTTTGGTTGTCCTATTTTAATAGTTTCGTGATGATGTGATGGTGTGCTTTATCCGCATGATTCTCGCTAAAGTGGGCGGTTTGAGTGACGTTCGATTCGGGGGATGTTCTGGGGGCGGGGATTGCTGACGCGCTGCAAGCTACTAGCCCCACAGTGGAAACGCGACATGATTTTGGCCTCACTGCTCAACCTCCCAGGCGATTGGCCCGGCCTGGCCCGATATAAGCCCTGGCTCGCACTGGCCTGATAGTGGAAATGCGAAGAGCTTCCTGGGCTTTCTTCAGGTTCTTCACTCTGTCAACAACATTAGCATAGCGAGGTATGCTAATGCACCAGTCTCATCCAGCATCTGTCACACCTCACTCTGGCTATTCTTCTGACCTGCTTCATCCGTAATCCTGCCTATTCACTGACGGCCCTCGCACAGCGTGGCTCCTGGAGCTTTTGAAGGCAGTAATCAACCCCCTTCCCAAACCCTCACTATTGCTCCCACACAGCCACTTCCTTTGGAGAAGGAGAGAGAAGGTTTCTCCATCGCACGCACTCGTCCATCAACATTGTTTTGCTCTTCTCTCTCTGTGCCTGTGGTGATATACATGTCAATGGGCACAACACAAAGGCTCTTTTCAGGCCTGGTTGGCTTAAATTCTTCCCTATAGGACCACTGACACACAGGTGGAGTGAGGGGTGCAGGGAGCCCGCTTATAAAGCTCAAGAGCCTTTGTTAATAATCTCTCATTTTCTAAATTAGTCATATTTGGTCACATTTTTGATAAAGCAAGAAGGAAGTCAGTATTCGCCACGTGGACTTGCTCCAGATATGATTTGAATGCACTGATTTTGGATGGCATCTTCTCAGATCTGAGAGAGATTTCCAATTTGTTGTCCATTTTATTGCTTCATTTTATATATATTATGTATTTCAGATTTAAATTTTATTTAATTTTGTAAAATTTTTGTTCCATTTTTCACATTCAAATGTTTTTTGTTTATTTTCTGACATGAGTTTTTGTCTGTCTCTTTAATTTCTCAATTTTTTTTACAGATTTGAATCAATTATTGGTGTTTGTTTTTTAAGTATTAAAAGTAGAAGTCGACGACTAAGAAAAGTAAACTAGAACTAAAATAAAACTAAACTAAATAATAGTTCCCACTATTAATAGACATAAATAGACATAGCA